TTTTTTTATTTTATTAAATATATATTACATAATTATTATTAAAATTTTATATCTTTTTTTTTTAAATCATATCATTATATTTTAAATTATCACGTCTAATATTTTTCATACATACCATTTCATCATTATTCATTGCTACGTTTATATTACCAATATTTGTATTTTGCTAGTTGGAGGTTGAAGGAACATATGAAATTTTTAAGTCAAAATTTAGCATCTAAAATTTTGAAATTTCATATTATCTCAAATATTTTGATTCAGTTTTATGTTTAATTTATTTAATTCTATGTTAAAATGTATTGATCCATTTATTTGATTGATCATGTTCAAATTAGCTAATATAATTTATTTTTATATAAAAAAAAAACTTTCAATGAAAATGTTAATTTGGTGAATTTTCATTTTTACTCTCAATCCAAATTAAATCCAAAAATAAACATAAAACACAATCAAAGTAGAGACAAAAATTGCATGAGTTAAGTAAAATCACTTTGAATCAAGTCATTTGAATTGAAAAAAAAAAGAAGAGAGATTTAAATAACCTCAAATTCATATAATTTGAGTTTGAAATTTGAATTATTTAAAATTTGATCATTTTATAAGTTAAAATTATATTTTAAAATTAAAATAGTTTAATTTTGGACCGTTTTATATTATTCGAGTTTAAATCATTTTAAATTTAAAATATTTCAAATTTAAGTTGAATGTGTTCAAATTGTTAACTTTTTTTTTTATGAAAATTGAATTGAATTGTGCTCGAATTCAAACATGTTAATAACGAAAATTTTATATTTTAATAAGTTTTGCCAATCTTATAATCAAGTAATCATGCGATGAATTGAGCTTGCCACGACACAAATTCTCAATCCAAAAACTACAAGGTGCAAATTAGAAATACATTGTACCATCTCTTAATGCTAGTGTTTACTTTTTTTTTTTTTAAACAAAAATGCCAGTGTTAAACAGTAAAATGGAAAACCAAATCTAAATTGGTCAAAGTGTAATAAATTATTTACATGACTAGTTAATTTAAAGTCGTCCATATGAATTAATTGGCAAATAAATGATGCTACATTGATATATTTATGATCATTCATCACTTTTGTAAAATCCATGATATGTAATAAAAACTTGCTGACTGGAAATAATCTACCAATTCATTATAGATGTAAGGTTAAAATACTAAAAAATCCCTTAATTATTTTATTTTTTAAATAAATTTTTTTTATTTGTGTTCAAATAAGTCTTTATTTCAAATAAAATACAATTTTATATTAAAATTTTATTTAAATATAAATTAAAGGTTAATAATTTATTTAAAGATAAATTAAAAATTAAGGGATTATTTGGGTATAAATTAAAGTTTAAGAATTTATTTTTATTTAGATGTAATAAAAATAAAAAAATTTATCTAGATAAAATAATAAAATTCAGGGACTTTTTTTTTTATTATTATATTAGACTTATAATAACTTTAAAAAAGTGTTTGTTCATTTAAGATAAGCAAGTGAATTTTTTGCATTATTACTAGTTAAGATAATATAATTCTGGTTCATTGTGGTTAAGATATATAATGTCTAATATATTTTAATGTATCAAAAACCCTAAAGCTACAATTTTCATTTCATCAATTCCTTATATTTTTAAGTTTGACGATATATAAGATGTTTTCTATATTAAGCATCAAAGTTTTTTTTTTTTTTTAATGTGAAAAAACGAGATTTAATCTTAACTCGCTTAGTGAAGGAAAGCATGTTTGGATAATTGAATTAAATATTTGGATGTAACCAATGGGATTTTGTTTTAATGATAAAAAAAATTTTAAAATTATAAAATTTTGATTCAAATCTCGTTATATGTAAGTTTGATTTAATTTTATATTAGACGTGTCTACTTATATTTTAATTTATTAATTTATTTAAGTATTCAATGATTATTATATATGAATGTAATATTTTATTATAATTATAACTTGTATTTATAATTAAAAAATTGGATGAAAACTCTTTTTTTTTTTAAGTACAAAACTAATGTTGTCCATTGTCTCTTGTAAGACTTTTTTTTGCCAATGTTTCTCGTAGTAATAATAATAATAATAATAATAATAATAATAATAATAATTATTATTATTATTATTATTATTATTATTATTATTATTATACGTGCTTATTTGTCAAAAAAAAATTTATATTTTAAGAATTAATTTCAAAGATTATACTCTTATTTTTAGAGACGAAGTTGAAACCGAAAAAAAAACAGAATCACATATTGTATGCTATTATTTTTTAAAACCCCAAGAAACATAATATGCTTACAAAGTTAATTACAATATAAACAGCAAACTAACAGCTTAAAACGTTAAAAATAGTTGGGAAAGGCAATTTAGGCAAAAGCATTGCTGAGAAACAAATTGGAGACAAAATCCAATTCCATTTGGATTCATTAGATGAACAGTGATATTAACTTTGATAAAATTAAAAAAAAATAATTATTATAATTGTAATTAAAAAAATTCATAAAAAATTTATGTTAAATGAACCCATTTAAATTAAATTGATGGGACAATGAGTTTAATTAGAGTGTAAATGATATATTAATACTCGTAAGTGAATCGATTAAAATAAAACTCGTATTCGATTCAGTTATTATTTAGTAAAACTTAAACTTAAGTAATTAACTTAAAATAATTAAAATTTATTAAATTATAATATTTCGATTAAATTCGTGAGCTTAAATTAACTTATCAATCGAAATATTATAATTTAATAAATTTTAATTATTTTAATTAATAAAATATCTTAAATTTGAGTTTGAATTCGAGTATAGATAATCAAATTTTTATCGAATATAAAAATTAAGTTTATTTTTACATATTAATTAAACTTAATTGAACGAGCTCGAATAACTCATTTTTATTTCGAGTTAAAAAAATAAAAATCAATCGAGTTTGAATTAAGTTTTGAGCATTGAATTTAAAATCGAACTCAAATTTAATATTGTATCAATTCAGACTCAATCGATTACAGCTTTAAATTTACTACATCATACTAAAAATATAATGAAATCTTTATCATTGCTTAATAAAATAAAACTAAGAGCAAAATAAATCAATAAATAATTGATTTAATTAATTAAAATTTATTATTTTTATGAAAAGATATTGAATCTAAATTTTATCAATAATTTATTAAAATTATTTTATATGTATGATCTATAATTATTTATATTAAATTATCATATACGATAAGATTTATTTCGATACAAGATTAAATAATTTATTTATTCATATTATTTTTCTTAAAAAAAAAAAAAAACAAAAACAAAAGGCAAAGCGAGGCTTAAATCCCAAAGAATGACGCGAGGTGATGCGACGGTGATGATGGGGGGCATGTGGCATGCACGGGACATGAGCGGCTGTCACCCTATGTCCCCCAACCCAAGGCGTGCAGAAGCAGTAGCAGTTGCTAATGATATTGCTATCAAGGAAAAGGAAGTAGCAAAAACACGCCAATAACATTTTTTTATTTGACTAATGGGGTTTTATAGAAACATTTTAATATTTTGAAGGGGTGACGATGAAAAAAGAAAAAAAAAGTTTAGATGTCTCGGTCATCACCCGGCAAACCAACTTGAAAATGCCGGTTTCTTGTCCCCCAATTACAGCTCGTCCACTGTTTTCTTCTGTCCCCTCATCTTAATCCACTCTTCGACTCTCCCTACTTTTTTACTCTCTTTGCATAATTCCCAAACCCCTTTCTCTCTCCTTTTCTTTTCCACTCCTACCCTTCTGCTGCAATTTTATTTATCAGATGTTTTTCCCTTTACAGTTTACTATAATTTTTGCACTAAATTCTTTTTTTAACCATGCATGCACTAATTGCACAAAAATACTATCACTTGAACAGAATGAACATGTCAAACTTCACCTAACCCAAAAGAGAAGTAAACAAGCTATATTTTAGAGAGAAATCAAGTCTATTACTTACTGTATAAACTAATGCAATAATAGAATTAATAATTTTAGATACGATATAATAATAAAATAATAATATAATTTAAATTTTAATAAAATTTATTTATATTTATTGACATGAATTATTATATGATAATTTTTAAATTTTATACATATTTGACATAAAATAAATATCATATAAATACATAAATTGTAGATATATGTGGTAATTAAAATTGATGATTACATTTATGGTATATAGACAATTCCTAACAAGGCTGATAAAAGAGCAAGGAATGGAGTTGTTGAATTTTTGATAGATTTGGGTAGACAAAATCCTGGTTTAAGGCAAATAGCTACAAATTTTCTTAAAACATCTTTGCATGCCTTTTTAATAGTTTGTTCTTGTCACTATACTGAGAAGATCTTAACCAATAATATTTGGAGTGAAGAGGAAAATTTCCGGCAAGCAAAAGGTCACCAAACTCAACCATCAAGCATAAGAAAGGAGAAAAAGGAAAAAAAAATCCAATATTATATCATCAATTGTCGATACCTAAAATGTAAAATAAAGATAAATTAAAGTATGAATTATTACAAAAAATAAAAAATAAATTTAATTAATTTATGTAATCAATCGTTAAACTTTATTGCCATTTATTAACACTTCAGAACAATGCTAAGTTAAAAAATATACTCCAGAGTAATGCCTGTAAAATACAAGGGTAAATTCGATATTTGACACATTAAAAAACCCTATTACTGAACCAGAAAGCGGCAACCTGGAACTAGAAAAGCCAATCAAATAGCATCTTGCCTTTCCACCTGTAATAACAAGAGATATTTTCTAAATTCTTTTCCAATATTAAACGGTCCAGATCCTCCATTGCAAAACCAATCTCTACCGTTAGATCAGATTCCCCCTCCAACTCCTAAATAGTACAAAAACGTCCTGGTCCCATTCTTTCAAAGAGAGTAAAAAATTTACACAACTTTTTGTGTTTATTTTCGCTTTTACCATTTTTTTTTTTTTTGGTTTCTCTCTCTGTTTTTTTTTAATTCTCGAGTTTCTCGGTGAATGGCTTTTGTTGCTTTCTGCTTAATGGAAGGGCCTTAAGCTTATCTCTCTCTCTCTCTCCCTCTCTCTCTCTGCTTTTATTTTCTCAGCAGTTCGTGCATTTTTGCCTGCAATTTTTAAAAGCAGCAATCGATTCTCTTCTCTTTGTCTCTTCCACCAAGCTTTTCTGCGGTAAGCTTTTTTTTTTATTGTTAAATTTTGTTTAGATTTGCAAATTTTTCCTTTTTTTTTTTGTTTTGCAGCTCTACTTCATTTCAACAGTAAGATCTCCAGTTTCTTTTTTTTTTTTCTTTTTGTTGTGGTTTCATCAGTTTCTTCTGTTTGTTTGCCTGGAAAACAGAAGGAAAACAGAAGAAAATGGAAGGAGATCAAAGTTTAGTACTTTTTTTTGCTTTTTTTTTTTTGTTTACTTTCTTTGTCTCTTTTTCTTTCTTCTGCTTATTATTCAACAAAAAGGGAAAATTCAACTCTCCTAAAAAGATTAAATGCATAAGACACTAAGACTTTAGTTGACTTTTTTTCTTATTTTATGCTCTCTTCTTTCCCAGCAACCAACTGGAAGATAATACTAAGAGGACTTGAGTTTTTCTAAGATTCTTTGTGAAATTGGACTCAGTTTTTGCTGTATTGTTTTTCTTGTTAAATCACGGAGTATGTGATTAGTCTCCATATGTTAAGAGGTCGAAGTTGGTAATCGGCCTGGTTTTTTCATTGGAATGTAATTTAGTTTTATGAAGTAAGATTGGTCGAATGCTGATGAGCAAGCTTACACCATTATTTGAGCTTTCCGAAGTGAAAACTTCCATCAATTTTGACCGTTAGAAGCAATAAAAATGACACAAATTAACCAATTCTGGTAGCTGGGGTTCTTTAGAAAAATGGTTTGAAGTGGGTTTCGCAGATGATGTTAGTGGACACACAAACTGCCGGTGCACGACTGCTTTCACCAGGAACTGTCAATGGTTTATTGACTAGTCTTCTTGATGGCTTGGTTTAGATAACTTTGAAAGCAGATCCTTATCTGTTGTAATTGGTAACAGTATTGAAGCTTGTGTTTTTATATAACTTGGCTTAAAAGGTGTTATTTGTAAATTTTGATTTTTTTTTTTTTTGGGTTTGTTTTGTTTTTCTTTTCTATGCAGTAAAAGAGGCTGTTTTGAGAAGTTTTGAGTTCTGATGTTTTCACCGCTGCTGGGCGTGGAAGAGGAAGGGCAGAGTAATGTCTCTTCTTCCCCCTCTGTTGATTGTATCTCCCAGAATGGCTTGGGGTTAAAGAAGCGGAATTATCTTGGATTATCAGATTGTTCTTCAGTTGACAGCTCAGGTGTCTCGAGCTTGCCAGAGGATAACAAGAATAATCTGAATTTGAATGCTACAGAGCTGAGGCTCGGTCTTCCCGGATCCCAGTCCCCCGAGAGAGAAACAGAGCTTTGCTTGTTGAACCCGGGAAAACTTGATGAGAAGCCACTGTTTCCGCTACTTCCTTCTAAAGATGGAATCTGCTCATCATTACAGAAAAGTGTTGTTTCTGGAAACAAAAGGGGGTTCACTGACACCATGGATGGATTCTCTGAGGTTAAAGGCTCTGTGTTCACTGAAAAAAGTTGGATGTTTCATGGAGCTGGTTCTGATTCTGAATCTCCACAACCCATGGGACACGGAAAATTTCCTGGTAATTCAGGGGTTAATGTGAAGCTGTCAGCAAGGTCTCAAATATTTGTAAAGAAAGATGGGCCATCAAATGTTCTACAAGAACGGCCTGGGGCCACTAATGGAACTAACCTCAAGCAAACTGGCATTTCTAACAACAACAGCAATGCACCAGCTCCCAAGTAAGTATAATTTACTTGAGAAAAGACTTGAGCTTTAGATGGGAGAAAGGGAATTATATCTCGACCTTTTTGATTTGATTGTTATTATAATACACCATCCTTGACAGAGCACAGGTTGTTGGTTGGCCACCGATAAGATCTTCTAGGACTAAAATCCTGGCCACTTCTTCAAAGAACAATGATGAAGTTGATGGAAAACCAGTTCCTGGTGCTCTTTTTGTCAAGGTCAGTATGGACGGGGCTCCTTACCTGAGGAAGGTAGATTTGAGAATGTATTCAACTTATCGGGAACTGTCATCTGCTCTTGAGAAAATGTTCAGCTGTTTTACCCTCGGTAAGCTATTGCTACTCTTTGCCTTGTGGCAACATCCAGCTGAATCCTTCTTGGTGCATGAAATGTGCTTCTCTGTATTTTCCATGTTTGACTTAGATCTGGTTACCATATTTTCGTTATGATTTCAGATCAATGTGGTTCCCATGGTGCTCCCGGGAAGGAAACCTTGAGTGAGAGCAAGTTGAAGGATCTTTTACATGGATCAGAAAATGTGCTTACATACGAAGATAAAGATGGTGACTGGATGCTTGTTGGGGATGTTCCATGGGAGTAAGCTTCGGTCACTAAATATTACTGTTTGCCTTAGCATTTTCTTTTCCGTAATTGCATTCTTTTTAAACCCCTAAATCACATGGGCAGAAGTTTTTGGAGTATCGTGTATAGACTGAATCTCTATATTAGAGTTCATGTTGATGCAAATGACAGCAAACATGTGAAAACATTGGATGCATGTGTATATGTTGTTATTGCCTTCTCCATGAGTGCACTTTGGCTCTGCTATTTCTTGTCAATGGGAAGCATATGAATTAATAAATATATTTTATGTGCACTGTTCTTTATGTATCTGTCCACACGTTCCCCATACTGACAAATACCGAAATTAATGTGGTATGTAAGTGCTGCATATTTATACTTATTTGTTGAAAGTGATGGATTTAATTGTATTGTTGAAATTGATGGATTTTATATATTAAGAATTAAGAATTTCATCGGACTTATTCATATAAATTTAATTGTCCATTACTTTTGCCACTTTGGAGATTTTATATGTTTAATATTAGATGGTAGGAAATTACCGTACAACTAACATCACTTTAAATGGAAAGATCAGATTTAATGCTTGAAGGAGTGGAGTAGATTTAAATACTTGGAGTAGAAAACTCTCAAGTCATATCACCCAAGTTTTGACTGCAAAAATTGCAAGATTATACGATAAAGTTGAATAACAGCTTGGTTAAGTCGTAATATGGGTTTTCAGAAATCTCAGAGACATTATTTTCCTTTTCCTTGCAGATGGTAAAATGAGAAAAATTTATACAAATAGTTTTGAATCTTTCTTTTTTATGAAAAAGGTTGAACTTGAGAATGTTTTGTCCTTTTAAAGTAGTATTGATTTTGTTTGTTCTTATTTCTTCTAGATCTAGGGTCAGTTTTTATTTTAGTTATAGGCTAGTTTGTGTAGCTTCAGAGTCTAGATTCACATGCAAAATACAGGCACGGAGAGGCCTATATATGATATACTAGCATGATATGTTTGGTGGCTGTAAACTTGATTTTGTTTAATAGTGTCCCCCCTCCCGCTCTCTCCTTCCTTCTTTGAAGTACTTTACGATAAGACTGTTACCTGATAGATTGAGATTTCCTTACTCGGGTTACCTTTATCCCCTGAACTGTAATTTGATTTGGTCCCAGGATGTTTATTGAAACGTGCAAGAGGTTGAAAATCATGAAGAGCTCTGATGCGATTGGATTAGGTAAGTAATTTTTGGCTTAGTGATCTCGGAATGGATCGTATTGATTGTATTTTTTCTTTGTACGTCACTTAATTGTGGGATGTATGCATATATTTTCAGTTTTTGTTTATGTATCTTTACGTGCATTTGCATAACTTCACGTCTGAATGAATTTTAGTCCTTGTTTTCTGGATTTGTCTTCACCTGTCAACTATTCAAAAGATAAAAGATACAATGAAAAAATGGGGGTTGGGGCATGGAGTATTAGTTAAATTGAATTCTCTTATATCTTACAATTGAAATGATGTAGAAAGTAAATCTGTCATTTGAATTTATGTTTTGTACTTCTGTTAACAATTTCTGGGCGTCTTTTGAATGAGGGTTGTACCAGTCATAATATTCATGCATGCAGGTAAGATGCTCATACCTTTGACATCTGTGCTCAATTTCAATGCAGCTTCTATGGAGTGGGTCTTATTATAGTGCGTTTTTGTGTAATAGTTTTTATCATTATGGTAATAGCGTAGGGCACCTTGTCCTTGCTAGTTTTACATATCATTTTCTCTATGTTGTATGCGACTTATCACATCAATTGAGCTTGTGATAATTCAAATGCCTTCTGAAATTATAGATGGACAATGCCTTTTGAATTGTAGATGGACAGAGTATTAGGCTAACGATAACTTCATTTTGTGTCTACAGCTCCTAGAGCAATGGAGAAATCCAAGATCAGCAACTAGAAAGACAACTCTGGATATGATTTAATTTCCTCGTACCCAATTCTAAGTGAAAATTCCAGTGAGTGGAGGAAGCTGTGATAACTGAGAGCAGAAACTGGCAGGGTGCATTGTGTGGAATGAACATCTTATCATATTCCATCTCATCTCTGTTTTGGTTGCACGAAGAATCAGTGTTACTTTTTGTTTTTATGATGATTGTTCAAAATTGTATTGTTTTCTGTTGAATGTATGTTTGATGGTAGAGCCATCCGGTTGTACTGCTTCATCTGTTGATTCCCTGTGATAACTTTGTATTTTTCATTGTGTTTCCATTTCAAAATTCCTACTATGTCTAGTTGATGCCATTCTCAAAAGCCAAGAGTAATCTGTTAGCTGGCTAGCTACATTAAATCGTGAGACAAAAAGATTAGGACCTTTAATCTCAATTCTTCGCAAAGTATGTTGCTTTTCTGAACCATTTGAAGCACTGGCGTCCAGGGTGCCTTAAAATGCGGAACTTTCGCTCAATTCTCACGTGAACTTATATTCGTTACCAGTTAAGGTTGATCTCGTCTTCTTGCTCGTTTCCATTTTCCTGGGAGAGCTCATTCACCTCATCAGCTTCACAATCTTCTTTTAACATTTCTGAAACAAAATGAACCCCAAATGGTCGAATGGAGGCCCGTAGAGAACCCCAAATCCTACCAAAAGAACCTTACCTTGGAGGTCGAAAGACAACTGGTAATTACTACATCAACAATTCTCTTCGTCAATGGCGTCGAAGTAAAGACCAATTTAATGTTTGCTATTGCTACTGCATTTGCAGACAGAAATACAACCAATCCAAGCAGCAATGCTTAGGGAATAGCAATTTGGCAGCAGGTTCAGTTCAACAGTTTGCATTGAACTGGTAAAAACTAGATTTCTTCTAGGTATGGGAGGACCAAATATAATTGGTTCTTCAAATTGTTCATCTGTTCGGTAAAAGGACTTGACAAGCTAGAGCATTGAAAGAGGTTTGAAGCAGGCCAAGGGTACAGATTATAGGGTCGCCTTGCCTAGATGGGCTGTAGTCAGATATGAATCCAATCTGGTCCCGAAGCCTTATTATTGTAACTGCTGAAAGCGGCAGCTTATTAAAAGGCGCTATCGCAAAAATTTCATGACGTATTAACGAGTTTTGATTGGAAGGAAGTTTAAACATGCACAGCTATCAATTAATCACGTTTTCTCGGTTGTTGTTAAGTATTTTCTTGTTCCAATGCTATTTTCCTTTTACCAAATATGAAAATGAAATTATAAAAAAAAAAATGGGCTTTTGTTATTAAAAAAACATAATTTAAAATAAAAAATTATAGATGCTAAAAACTAGATATTTATACTTGTTATAGATTTTCGGCCTTGGATTTGATACAAAGGATGTGCTTTTTTCAGTTCTTCAACTTTGGAATTTTCTTCCTTGCTTGCTGTTTACAACGTAAAAACTAACCAACAAGGAACCCAACTTCAAACTTCTTTCCATTTCTTAACTCATTGAGTAAAAAATTAAATGAAAATTTAGTTTAGTAATGATTACAGTGATCATAATTTTAATAATTCTATTCCTAACTTTCTCACATCACATGTGAATAATTTTCAATTAGTAACTCTTATTTTGATTTAAGAAACACATTAATTAGTCACTAAGGCATGGATTTTTTTAATAGAATCAGCTATTTTTTATTGTGCTTCTTTTGAGATGCATAAAAATTCAACTAAATCATAAAAAAGCGACGCAATCAAATAAAGTTTTTCCAAAATCATTTCATTATAAGATTTTTAGTAGATAGCTTTTATCAGAATTATTTAAAAGTTTTTTTGAAATGGCATAATTATATTGATGTTGACAGGCTTCACTGGCAGACATTGAAAATTGGCAGAAAAACTTAACGAAGTAAATAGGATCGTGTTGTTTTGTTTCAATGAATTAATCCATACTGACTTGGACTTTACATATTGGAAATGAGACTTCCATTTTGCTTGAAAAGAATTCATGTTTAGAATTTTATAGTACAATATTCCATATGAGGCCATAGATTGGAAGACAAGTGGTAATTCTGATGCCAATCAGTTGCTTTTTCTGATTTCCTAGGTGACTCAGGATCATCCTTGACTCCACCAATCACATAAAATATGGGGTTTCTTAGATTTGAAATTTCTCCCCTCTCAGTTCTCAATTTGATTAAATTTAAGCTTACACGAATTCAGGATTATCTCAATAAATTTATATAATCATTTAAAAAAAATAATGTTTAATAAATTTAAATTTAAATATTAATACATGTAATTTTTTTTAGTTGCAGCTTTTGTTATACAAAAAAATTTTATGTTAACGGATTCATCTAGATGTTTAAGATCCAATTGCAGATATCTGAGAGGAAGACCATGATTAAAATACATAGTTTTTCATGCCAATATTGTTGTTAAATTTCCTACTAGGACCAAATATTTTGCAAGTTGAAGCTTAAAGAATGAAAAGTGCTGATGATATACAAGAGTAAATGAGATACTAGGTTCACTATTTTTTTTTCCAAGAGAACGTGACTGAATACATTGAATTTCATATTCAAATCAATGATGCCTCTCAACACATGGATAACGCACTCTTCATTTTTTTTTTCCAGGAGAACGTGACCGAGTACATTGAATTTCATATTCAAATCAATGATGACTCTCAACACATGGATAACACACTCTTTATGGCAGAAATATTTATACTAAAGTAGGATCTTTAATGGTGAGAGGTGTTTGTAGCTTTCTAGGCTTATGTTCAGTGTGTGAAAATCATTTGATAGCTTCCTCTTTATATAATTCTTTGGTATAATTATGTTTGATGTGACCTCATCTCAATTTGATTATATTGCCTTTGGACTTTCTAATTTGGATTTGTTGACCTTTTTCACTGGGAATACTGTTAACATTTTGTTTCATGTGTTAATTCAGCCTCCTCATTGGTAGTGTCAGTAGACTTTTGTTGTTCCTTTGAAAATTTTATCAAATTAGTGCCAGGTTAATCATGACAAACAGCATTAAATAATCAAACAATCAGTTTCTGATATGAATTTCTTGGTCTTCCAGGTTTTGCAAATTATAAAATTCCTATGTTTCTTTTCCACCAAAAAAAGTTGGATAGCTTAGAATATTGTCACTATCCAAAGATTCACTAACTTTTCCCCCTTATCTTTGACAAATTTCATATGTTCTTCATCCATGACATCAATTTGTTTGTATTTCTTTTCTGTGGGCTGCCACTCCTTTGATTCACTCCCTTTTTTTCCGCTATGAAGTTCATTTTCTTTTCCTTAACTTTTACCAGTGGAAGATCAAATTTGTTTCTAATTCTACATTAGCATTCTTTATGCTTCCTTCACTTTTTATACTCCCTTGCTTTTGCATTTCATTTTCTAAGAAATTACTGTTATCAAGAGGTCATCTGCTTGATATAAAACAGAAGCCATTCCACTCTTTGCCTTCAAAATTTTTCTTCTTTCAAAATTCAATGGATTCTCTTTAAAAGAATTGAAGATTTGATGAATCTTATATTAGTTAATCGAACATTGTATCCTTGTGGAAGTTGGAGTGGTTAAGTAATGTTAGGTTTAAAATAATTAATCAATTAATGAAAGAAAAGCTAAAAGATAATGGCTGTTAAATTCTGTTGTAATCATATATATATATATATATATATATATTTGCAAAATCATTGATTGGGAATATTCTTGCACTATATGATTAAAAGCTATCCTTCCCTTTATTGTGATTCTGTGTGAAAATGAAATTTGACTCATTAATCATGTCCCAATCATAATGCCAAAAGTTAAATCTCTGGAAAATTTGAAGCTGTTCAAAGGGTAAGAAAAAAAAATAATGTTCTCAATAAAATATAGCAGTTTTTGGGCTCATTCTTGATCTTGAATTCTGCAGACATTGGGCTTGGCCATCTTAAAACTCAACCACAATCTCCAAAATGGATGAACTTCAATGATTAGCAACAAGCATCCAACTAGCTAACCTTCATATTTTTCACGTTTCCTTTGGTTGCAGGTATGCAATAATCTCAGTTTTATTGATGTAGGACAGGAACAAAAAAATGGGGTGTTTCCAGCTAATATTGGGAGGAGGGAGGGGTACAAAAATGGATCAGCCTTTAGTTTTTTTTCAGATTTTATTCTTTCTTATCTCTCATTCACAACATGTCAGCAATTGGCTACCAAAAATTTGGTCCCACGAAAAAACTATAATGTCCTACAAGTTGGAAGATGATTAATTTTCGTGTACGAAGGTACATGGCCTCAAGCTTTGTACCGTCGTGTCATTTGTTAGGCAGGCCACAGCATTTTCCCAGAAATGTGTAGTGTCATTTGACATTTTGATAAGGATAAAGAGGGAGAAGCAAAGCTGTTTGAACAATTGAGCCATGGCATCAACCTTTCCTTCTCTACAAGAAATATAGGCTGTTATAATAAACAAGACTATTTGAAAGTATGGGTTTTGTGTGTAATGACATGACCATTTCTCCACATTCCAATTGCATTTGCCTCTTTTAATTGGGAGAGCAATTGCTTCATTTAACTTTGCATCAATCATCTAATCAAGCAAGCTTAATCAATTCTCTTAACACAATTATAATTCAGTCTGAAACAAGAATGTTCTTACAACTTGCAAAGGGTACTGCTAGGTTTGCTACTTTGTATCAATTGCTTTGACTTCACTGAAGATGATACTGATCAATGTCGTTCCCTTAAACAAATGTTCCATAGGCTTCCACATCTCCTGGTTTGGTTTTGGATTCTAGGACGTTGATGATGATGATGACAAAAACATTTGACCTCAATTGAGCCACTGAACTTAGGCTGGCAGCACAAATCCTTAACCAACCTAGTGTTTTCTATCTTGTTTGTTTCCTAAACAAACCAGGTCGGCATAACTACTCACAGCTCTTTTCAACAACCATTTTTAGCATTATTGTATAACATAACCCTCTTATTAAGACATTTTTCACTGCAAAATCAAACTTTTATGTCCATGGCTCATCATGTCTATTTTTTAAAGCCTTGATCAGGGCCTGATTTACAGTCATTCAGATTTTAAAAAAAATAAAGGACTTGTGCCCTAGTATTTTAATTTTGAGAAATTATAAATTTGTTAGTGATTTGCACATACTTTAATTTTTTTATATATACTTAAAATTATCATATGAAAAAAGTTATATATACTGAGATTTGAAATTAATTCGACTCAAAGTTACTTCTAAAGAAGTCACATAAATCAATTGGTTTTGATTATGAGTGCAAATGATATATTAGTACT